AAAGATTCATGAGACTTATGCGCGTACCGAACGCCCGAGGCGTTCCGATCCTTTAACCTCGGACAGGGCTTCACCGCGGAAGTGAAGCAACACTAACATCGAACAAATTTCTGGTGCCCCGGGTGAGGAAGGTGTGGGATGCATGTCTCTTGCGCATGACATATTACTGTTTCTCTGTACCGTTTTCAGCGCGTTTACGCAATTGTTGAGTGCTGCGACGGTGTGACGGAGAGCGAGTGAGTACGAGGGAGACACTGTGGGTCGTCCCAGAGAGAATTGTATGCGGCGTGAGCCCAGCGAGTGAGAAATCCTGCTTAGACTGAGTGGTGGTACGAGTTTCTGGACCAGATTGCCGGTCGAGGCTCGTCGATAACCATAAGTACCCTGACTTATACCTACGTCGCGAACTTGAGCGGTTCGGACTGCGTGTCGGGTGAATAGTCAGTGCCGTCTGCACCACCGTGAAAGATTGTCGCGTTGTGAAATATACGCTAACCTCGTTTCGATAAATTCAATCGACGGTTTCGAATTGTCATTGTTCAGTGACCTTAACCTGCAATATCGAATTGTTCATTATGGCGCCTCCTTCGTTAAGGAAATGGGTCACGTTACAGAGCGTACATTTAGAGGAGATGCGCCTAGTGGAGGAGCGCTTTCGCAGTAAAGATAGTGCTACTTTAAGTAGAGCGCTTATCCAGTCGCGACTGGAACGCCTGAATGAGATCTGGGAGAACGCGTGTAAGACACACTTGGAAATTTCGGCCAAAGAGGGTTCGGAAACGGATCCGTATATGGTGGACGGGGTGTATGCTACGTTGCATGCCACTTACGAGGATATTCGCGATTTATTAGTGACCTCGCGTGTGCCTTTCGAGGCTGTGGTAGAACCAACTTCAACGACTAGGCGAACCGACACGGAGCCATCCGAACAGGAGACGGATGCGTCCGTGGCGCGTCTGCCGCGAATGCCGCTACCCACGTTTTCGGGGAAATACAAGGACTGGGAGAGCTTTTGCGACCTCTTTACCGCTCTGGTACACGACGTGCCCAAATTCGCGGACGTGACTAAGTTACAGTTTTTGAAGTCGTGTTTGAAGGGTCCTGCCGCAGAGTTAGTTCGGGATGTCAAAACGACTAACGCGAATTACGCCAGTACTTGGCTTGCGCTTAAGGCGAGATACCATAACCCACGTCTCATTCTTGCGAAGTATCTTACATCGTTGTTACAACTTCAACCTTTGAAGAGGGAATCCGCGATTGGCTTGCGTGCCTTCACTGACGACGCGACGCGGATTGTTCGTGCGCTCACGAACCTAAGGTTTCCGGTGGCGCACTGGGATCAGTGGCTCGTCCACATTCTCGCTGAGAAATTAGACACGGAGTCTCGGAGACTCTGGGAGGCTGAGCTCAGTGTGAAAGACCAGCAGGTTGTAGAGCTACTGAGTGCGAGTATGGCGGTGGGGGATACTGATCCTGTGAAATACTTGCCTACTTTCAAAGATCTGGTGGGTTTCCTAGAAAGAAGAGCGCGGACGCTCAACATGTTAAGTTCGGAATCTCTAACGAATAAGGGGGAGAAGAGAACGGCTCAAGATAGTAAGCCCATTAGTAAAACGCGAAAGGTCTTTCACGCTAGCACTTCCTCCACAACAGCGGATAAATCGAAATGTATCGTCTGCTCGGGGACACATTCCCTGATCAAATGTACTGAGTTTAAGGCGAAGTCGGCGAGCGACCGACATGATTACGTGCAGCGCTCGGGTGTTTGCTACAACTGTTTCGGGAAACACCGCGTGCGTGATTGCAAGTCGGATAAGCGCTGTGGCGTTCCCGGTTGTCAGCGGAAGCATCACACTCTTTTGCATCCAAAGGCGGCAACTACGCCGGCCGATGAGAGTCGCGCGTCCCCGGCGTTGAGGGCCGAGGGGGTGGACACCAAAGTGAAACCAGCCGTTGTTAGTTCTCATTCAGCCAGAGCCTCTCCACTCTTGGAGACGGTACTCTTGGCTACGGCTCAGGTCGGAGCTTTAAGCTCGAATGGGGAGATAGTTAGAGTCCGTGCGTTGTTGGATCAAGGCTCGGAGGCCTCTTTCGTATCCGAGTCAGCTGCTCAGCTACTCCAGTTGCCGAGACGACCGGTGGAAATCTCGTTGCGAGGGATTAGCGGTAGGAGAGCCGGTGCTGCTCATTCGGCTATACGATTGGTGTTGAGCTCATTGGTCGACCCGCGATCCACAGTCGAGATCGATGCTCTTGTTCTGCCGCGTCTCACAGCACCACTTCCAGCCTGCTCGCTGAAGGAGCACGCTTCATCGCGATTTCGAGGACTGCCGTTGGCAGACCCGCAGTTCACCACCTCGAACCCGGTGGATCTTATCCTGGGGGCGGAAGTGTACGGGCAAATTCTAAAGTCAGGCGTGAGGCGCTGGCCTGCCTCGCGTCTCGTAGCACAGAACACCGTCTTCGGATGGGTAGTTTCTGGAGCTGTCACAGCCGACCCGGCACGGCGGGCGGCGTCGGCATCACTTCTGCATTGTTCTACAGATCCGGACTTGCTGAAGGTGATGGAAGGTTTCTGGAGACTAGAGGAAATCCCGTCGTCTCTGGATAAATGGGACGACGAGGAGCAGAGTTGCGACGAGTTATTTAGTCGAACGCATTCGCGAAACTCGGAGGGTCGATACGTAGTACGACTTCCGTTCAAATCTAGCCTTCCGGAGGCCGCTAGGGAGACGCGTGGAATGGCGTTAGGGTCCCTCAGGTCGATGCATCGTCGCTTTGCACGGGACGCGAGATTAGCACAATCGTATCGAGAGTTCATGGAAATGTACGAGTCGCTCGGACATATGGAACGAGTGCCTCCGGAGGAGATTGCCAACCCTTCGGCTTGGTACCTGCCTCATCACGCCGTTGTGCAGTGCTCGTGCACGGCGTGGAAGTTACGTGTAGTCTTCGACGCTTCTCGTCAGACTAAAGGAGGTTACTCCTTGAATCATTACATGATGAAAGGTCCCCCGTTGCAGCGCGATCTTGCATTGATACTGCTTAACTGGCGTAGATATCGATTCGTGTTTACCACAGATATTGTGAAGATGTTTAGGCAAATCGGGGTTGTGCCTGCCGATCAGGATTGTCAGAGGATCGTGTGGTCCCCGGACCCGACGGTCGACCCTGTGGACTATCGACTAACGACGGTGACGTATGGCACTAACAGTGCTCCGTATCTTGCGATACGTACGCTTTTACAATTGGCTCGGGATGAGGGGAGTAGGGGATTAGGGGCGCGTTGTCTCGAGAATTACACCTATGTGGATGACGTATTCGCGGGCGCGGATGACCTAGCACGTGCGGTGAAGAAGCGTTCTGAACTTGTGGAACTTTTGGGACTGGCCGGCTTCCCGCTCGATAAGTGGGCGGCGAACCACCCGAGTCTCTTACCCATTCAGCCTCGGTCAGTTTCCTCCACGCGAATCAACGACGTTGAGTCGGTTAAGACACTCGGTATTTACTGGGATTCCATCCAGGATGCCTTCAGATTCGATAGCTTAGCGCCTAAATCCACATCAGATTCGGTGACGAAAAGAGTGATCCTTTCGGATATCTCTAGATTATTTGATCCATTAGGTTGGTTATCTCCAGTCACCGTTGTGGCC